TAGCTCTTCTCGCCGGCGAGGAAGATAAGAAGCCACCGGAGGACGATGACGATCCATTACGACGTACCAGACGACCATTCGGCTGTCTCATCAACGATATTAAACGTCGCTACCCCTTCTATTTGTCTGATTTCACGGACGGTCTGAACTCGTCCTGCCTTGCAGCAGCCATCTTTATGTACTTCGCTGCGCTATGCACCGTCATCACCTTCGGCGGCCATCACCATCTACTGGAGGCGCTTACGCCCATTGTTCAAGTATGTAAATTGAGTGACACGTCCCGCGAATGTTGATGTCCATTCGGAATGAGCTGCGAATTGTTGCGTATGCTTTTAGGTGATGGGAGAGGGCAATAAGCGCGTGGTTACGCTATCGCATCGTGCTCAAGTACGTAGATTCACCTCGGATTTACTACGAGTGCTGAAGTCGAAAACGAGCAAACAAGTGATGCTTTCGGAGTTCCCGAGCGTTTACGCTTGAGTGATAGGTACAACATGCAACTCGCGTAACGTTGATATATTCGCGTTTATTTTTCAAAGGTGATCGGTCAAATCTATTTCTTCTTTCTCAGCAAAACCCTGGGATATCGTGGACTACGGTGTATGCAATATTGAAGATGTTGGTGAGGTGTCCGAGAACACGATTGTCGTGACTCCTATAGAAGGCGGCGATAAGATGATAGCCATCCCCAAACGCGAACAGACTGTTGAAGAGATCGAGCGAACGAAACTGTTCGCCAAAAATGTGCGCGGTTGAAAGGATATGTTTTAATTGCGTTTTAATTTCGTACATCTCGAAACTGTACTTGTAATTTAACTGGTGGTCGAGTTACTGCAACACGCGCCGCGATGTAAGACGCTTGCACGAGAATTTGCATATTGTAAAAGAAAGAACAATTTCTGTTGTCACCTATTTTTATTTGCATCTCGTAAAAGTGATGTACGAAATTGAAACGCATGCGACTGTGAAAAATTCGTAGACATTTGCCTGGTTATAAAACTTTTAATACGAAAGAAAATACATGTAGTATCACAGATTATTAGAAAATTTGCAAAATCACAGTGATTTTACTTGTTAATAATAATGGGGAAACTGTGTCTTCTATGCATGTTCCATGTTTCTCAGATTCTTTATTTGTATCTATCACCATTTGTATATTACTGAATGTTCGAAAAAAATTCAATAAAGTTTGATTACATCTCTTACACTTTTTCTATAGGATAGAAATGATAAAAATGTTAAAATAGATTTAATAGCTTATTATTCAAAATGTTCAACTTACTGTCTGTGTTTTGTAGTAGGTTTCAAAAATTCCATTTGTAATATTTCCAGTTTATTGCTTTCTTTGTGGCTGCACGCTTCCACTTACAGTATAATTTTTCTCATCTTTGTACTTTCTCAAGAACGTATCTCGTAAGTTTTTCCACTTTTTCTGACAAACTGTTGGATCTGCATCTTTTTTTGAAGGGAGAAATGATGTACATATTTATTATATATATATAAAGTAATATATATTTATTTATACGTTATACTTATGAAGTTATAATTAATAAAATGCAGAGAAATATAAGTACACATACTGAGGGTTCGACCTATCGTGTTCCCAAGATTTTCGTATCATATTCATTCCTCTCTATTGTATGTTTAATCTTTCTCACCACGGTACGTACTTTTTAGGTTTGTTTGTGTTGCTTGCTGAAGCACTCGGGTGATGTTTCCGAAATGTTTTCCGAACGCACCTAGTTCAGTATAATCGCTCGCGACAAAATTGAGCGTGACAAAATGTTCAATCTTGACCAACTTTTGTTACGACGTCGCGTCTCTCATTGCGACGGAAGTGACGTTGAGGAATGCGGTACGTTCATGGAAATCGCGCGTCGCGCATAATGTTATCGCGCTGGTCAATAATAGCTACAATTACTCACTGAACACTTAAACAGCAATAGAACATGATTGATTCTTGTTTTATTATTTAATCGATCATTTTTAGTTACTTATGTGATTATAATATTAGATAAACCTTATGAAAAGATTTCATCGCGTTGGTGTGAATAGAAAAAATTTTACTTTTGCGATTCGTCGCATGTCGCGCGTCGCGCGTCGCGTCGTCGCGCTGGTCTGCAAGAGCCATTAGGGGTCTTCTCCCCGGAATTGGACGTTAGAGTGTCTTGCAGGTTGGATGACGCTGCCTCCATCTTTACTGCTGAGGCCTTGGCCGTTAAAAAGGCATTCGAACTGATTCTCGACAACTGTTCCGCGGTCAGGAAGGCCGTCATCTTCTCTGACTCTCGTAGTGTGTTGGAGGCTTTAACTTCATTGAATCCGTTTGTCAGAGGTAATTTGGTTCCCGAGCTTAGAGATCTAGCTCGCCGTATTACTGATTTGGGGATTGAATTAATTATGGCCTGGATCCCCTCTCATAGGGGCATTGATGGAAACGAAGTGGCGGATCGCCTGGCTGGTGAAGCTACCCTCAGCAAAGAAATCCATATTGCCGATGTTCCATACACTGACTGTTTCTCTATCGCTAAAGAAATATCGAACAGGGCCAGTAATGCCTATTTCCAAGGGGAAAGTCTTCACAAGGGTAAATATTATCATCAATTCTTTCACTCCCTGGCTCCTAAACCCTGGTTCCATAAAATCAGGCTTAAAAGATCGGAAATTGTTTTAATTAATAGGATACGCAGTAACCACTACAACCTCAATTTTAGCCTGTTTAGAAAGAATATGATAGATTCTCCTGCGTGCTCCTGCGGATACGACACTCAAGATGTTAACCACGTAATATTTGCTTGTCCACTATACAGGGTGT